TTCCTATTCATTTCTATCTATATGGATGTAATACTGTGTTGTTAATGAATCTTTCATAATGAAGAGAAACAAAGATGATCTTCACTTTTCTTTCTTTTTTCTCTTTTACTCTTTTTTCTTTTAACAGCCGTTTGTTGGCTTCTCTTTTGTTTTCTTTTCTTTTTCTTTTCTCTTAAAATCTATTTCTCTAACTAGTCAATTCTCTTTTTAACAATTGTTCTTCTTTGTCACAAACAAACAGACACATATATACACACACACACATTTTCTCACTCAATTATTGCATTGTTTTATGGTTGTATTACCGGTTTATCAAGTTATGTGTTACCTTAACTGTTCTTGTTCTTGTTGTTGTTGTTGTCGTTGTTGTTGCTAGGTTGATTGACTGATCTATTCATCAATTGTTTATATTTCATTAATGATATTTGTATGCATTTATATTTGAGAGTTTGGTTGGTTTGATTTTGTTTTGGTTTTTTGTATATAAGAAGAGAGAAAGAAAACAAAAAGTGAAAAAAAATTCAAATCGATTTTTATCCATTGTGTAAAAAAATTTCTTTTTGTTTTTCTTTCTTTTTGTTTGAGTGTTTGTGTGTGTGTGTGGGGGTGTGTTTTGTCATTTTTTGTTTGCGTTCAATTTTTTAGAAAAAAAACACCACTGAATTTGTATAATTGTAAGTTTTGTTGCTAAGTGAAATATGTTACTATCAGTTGCTATGTCATCTTTGTTTTATTTTTATTCTAATAGAATCAAATTCTTACATTTGATCTCATTCAGTAAGTTTAATTATTTATTTATTATTATTATTATTTAAACACATAAACATTGGTACAACAAGACAATGAATAGATATGCGCCGTATATATCATTCGATTTATGTATGGGTTAGGATACTGCTCGGCTGCTCAAACCGAACTAAGTGGTTTTCTTAGGAGGCCACACTTGGAGCCTTTAACCTAAAGGTTTGATCCATAATGCAGTGGAGCAACGTTAGGAGATACAGTTCAACGATAGCCGGTGACCAATGATTGGTTCATATGCTATTTGTTTCCTCAGGATACTGGAGCCCATATGCCACGAGATGGTAGTGAGTAGGAATTTCCTTGCAGTAGTTGTATGCATGTGGCCATATGAGAGCATTTCTAGAGGGAAAACTGACAACTCACTTTCGACTGTACCAGGGCATTTGGGTGCCGTGCAGTAAGTATGAGTTGTCATCTGAGTAGTTCCTTGATTAGGTGTGTGTTGGTCCAAGTTGCCATATCATATCAGTACGCCGTATTAAATTGATAAGAGGAATAACAAATTTGATCAAAATATTGTAGTGGGAGTGATCGTGGCGATACATGAACATTGAGAATATGATTAAAAAAAGACAAACTGGAAAGGGTGAATGCATCTTCATTATGAACGATTCTGTACCACGTCATTTAGTACCTCTAACCACTGATTGTGCTATTTGCTCGAACTTTGACCAGGTAGTCTGCATCTACCAATATGAAAGGGTCTTGATACTCAAATATTTCACTCCTACTCATTAGGCCAGTCGTTGGTGCAGACAAGTCCTGAAGCAACAGTGGACAGTTAGAGAGAGAGAGAGAAACGCTTCCTAATCATGCTTGGATTGTTGCTCAAAGCAATCGGAAGATTTAGCATTTTTACAGGATCTTTACCAACATAACCTGTGAATCGAATAATAGTGTTCGTTCAACGAATTTGTATAAGATAAATCTACTTTTTTGTTACTTCATCCAATGACGGGAATTGCCACAAAATCTGATGATCAATAGAGTTTAATATTGTCTTAAGGTCAAGAAATAAAACTATAGTCAACTTTGGGTAGATATGCTTGTGTTCCATAGCGTGAAGTTGGGCGACAATTAGATCTGTTAGGGAACACATGCAAGTCTGAAGTCAGCCACATTCCTTCGGCTTCGCTGTTACTGAGCAGCTGATAAGCGTTATGAAGACTAGTGTTTCAGATTATATATTCATCAGTGATTCCCGTATGGTTATCACAAGAGGATTTTAATACTTTTTTTATGACCATAGACGATCGAATCGACTCAGATTGAGTTACTGGGTTCGAGTCCCAGAGTGAACATCAACTCTGAGATGCAGGTACATCCAGCTGACGATTCCCAAATAGGATGAAACGCGCGTCAAACTGGATTCCACTGTTAGCCACTACCCATCCATTATTGAAATATTGTTTTAATTCCCGGACTGATTTGTATAATCAATGGAATTCGATGTATTAGTGACAGAAAGCAGTAGTTCTTTAAATCAAGTTATTTTAGTAGCTTTTGTTACAAACAAAATTCGCTAGAAGACCATATCATGTTAGAACAGCTAAGAGCTGTTAACTCGTAGCCTTACATTTCTTAATAATGCTCGTCCATGATTTCATAATGAATAGAATGTAGAATCTGAAATTGATCACGGCGAGTATAGTATATTGGCAGTAACAAATCAAAATTGAATGGTCTATGCTTTCAATCAGTTTGTGATGTATTACATTCCACATCAACTATCATAATTGAATTACTAAATAGAACTTAGTTTTATTATGAGAACTTTCAAAAATCGGTCTACAGGTTTATTCGTTACTCATAGTTGACAGTAGTTGATGATAGTTATTTGTAATAAACTGTGAGTGTACTTAGTATCGTTCACCTTGTTGTGCTAATGCGGTATAACAACTTGGACCGATGCATATATGTGCCTGGTCCTACGTTACAGCTGACTGACTGATTAACTAGTATCGTTATAATTCTTGATTCGGTATAGTTGAAGATAACTTGTAGGATTATGTCGATCAATGTATCATTTGACAATCTAATTGTTTTTAAGTAGTTGACTAGGTTATCATTATCTGGTGTTATTTCGGCTCTTTAGATTAACTGTTGTCAAGATTCAATTACAATATTTGTGTCAATAATTGAACAGAAATACTTACAATATTTCACTCTTTAGGTTGATATGAACTTGTGAACAATGTCTAATACGTTTAGTAGCTAATATCTCATAAGAATATGTCTTTTTGTAAAACTTCGTTTTAATAGCTTAGCAGTAGGAAAACGACAATGACAACGATGCTTCTGAATGCCGAATGATGAGTTTCAATTATTATGAAGCCTGTGTTTTAATTTTAAGTGCTTCCCATTAAAAGTTTATCATAAAGCTTATTCTAATTAAGTGGGTATCATTATGATATGGGTTACTTATATCCATTTAAGTAATATATTTCAGTGGAACATCGAGAAAGAAAGAACAAATACAGAAAACAGTTAGTATGAAAATGTATGAACAATGAAATCTGATACAATGGACTGATATCTACAGAAGTTGTTTGAGTAGGAGAACTCTGATTTCAAAGCAATAGTACATATGAGATTCAGGACTATATAAAAGTGAATGAAATAAAAATATAATCTGGTCATTGGTTGCCATGACATTCAGTTTACCGATATCGCTTGATTGATTTCTAGATTGAACCTTTTCATTAAAAATTCAAGGGTAATCTCCAAAACGAATCATCTTTTATAAAAATTGAACACCCCTGTATATTATTCCAACCTTTACATAATCATAGATGTAGAGAATTATTAGATTCTGATGAGAATTAATGAATGGTAACTTTTGAGTACTATTTATGGACAATTACGAATTATACCCAGTCTATTAATGACAGTCTCCCATATTCACTGCCTTTTTTTTGGCTAAATCTTTTACAAATATTATTTTCTATTTTATGATACAATGTGGTCTGTTTAGTTTGTATATAAACCCAATATGTTTGATATACATGATTCATATCGCGGAGTATGTGATTGGTGTTCTAAGCTGTAACCGGCACAGAGAAGGTTCAGTAATGACTTTAAACTACTCGTATGAGTTTACGCGCCATTGTTCTGATCGATAATTTACTGTTCTCTAATTGGCCATATCATTGATATTGATATTATAATAAGCTTTATTCAACATTATATTTGTGGTACACTATTGAATTCTCAGCATAAAGTATTCCAACATGTTTCCTTTTCTTATATCTTGATCGATCCTGACGATAAATATTGAGTGATGGCCAGTTAGATGTTAGGAGTTCGATAATCGACATCTGAATAATGTTCATTCGTTTCCATGCATATTGCAAGCCACCATGATGTCGCTGGTTGTACCTTTTTGTAATCCGTACAGCGAAACGTTGTAAACTTTTCATAAACGCGCCTGAATAGGTTGTAAGCTCAATAGACATAATAGTGTGTTAAAACAAACATGAAAACAGATCACTTGACGAAATATCTAGTTGGGAGGAACAGGTAGCCCAGATATTCAAGCAGGCCGCCGTTTTAAGGTATGTACTTAGACATGCATGGCTTAGTCTCTGAGACAAGCATATGACTACTGGCAGGATCAACCAGTTTATTCACAGTTATATAATATACCCTTGTGGGCCAGGGTAATTTTACATTGGTTTCCAGGAGAACCAGACACCGTCCAGACTTTCACGTGACAACCCAAACAGTACAGCCCAAGCCCATTTAACAGGGGAGCCGGACACCGTATAGGCTATAACGCTACAATCTGAATAGTGCAGCTCAATCCTGTGGCGCAACCACACAGGTACCAAGCACCCTGGTGGACCATTCGCACCATTCATATACACATTCACATCACATGTGTAATTATTCCGATCAATGATCGCGAGAATCAATTATGCACGGCACGAACAGGCCAAAGTTGACCCATTCCGCTTACACGACAGTCAAACTCATTAATGTTAGCAATAGCGACATGCCTGACAATGTCCCAATGACAATGGCCCTCGAGAACACTGAAAAGCAGCCACCAGTATGAATGAAATCAGTTAACCAGCAAACCAATTTTGTTCGTGAACAGTCAGCAAAACTTGCCAAAGCATTGCTAAACCATCCACAATAGCAATGGCGAGCCTCCAGCCTCATATGAGACCTTCAGCTCTACACAGCCATATAGCTTATACTGCAAAACACACATTACGTCATATATTGATAGGATCACAATGCCACAAATGATAACAATAATAAGTTATTCACATCATTAATCAATCAATGAAACAACATCAATAAAGCCCCTTTCCGGGGGCTACTACCGGTCCCAAGCCCGGATAAACGAGGAGGGTTGGGCATGGGGTTAGCGACCCCATCCCGTAGAAAACTAACTCGCTAAAAAACGCTAACCAGAAAATGTTTTTGGAAATAGATAAAAGCAAGCTTTTGAGGCACAAGTGTAATTCATTACAATAATGATTAAAGGAATGAATGAAAGTTTCATGGTTGTTAAAATGAAAATAGTTTGTTATTTATTCATGAAAATAATAACAGAATATTATTTTATATTCACCACCACCGCCGCTCCCCCCCGTCCCTTGGCTCGAAAAAAAGTAATTATTCTCCTAATAATGCTAAAAGTAATTTGCGAAAATCTCCTGATGTATCTTCTCGTACTGCTTCAATTAATGGTTTACCAAAATATTCACGATACATTGATTTCAATGTATTCATATCAATCTAATGAAAGAAACAAACAAAAAGAAAACAAGATTAGTGATTGAATCTAGAAGACTGAAATATGAAGTAATTTTAATATCAATGGTTAAGATCATGAGTTAGTTGAAGCTAGACCACCATAGAAAACCTGATAATAATCAACATATGCTCACTAGTGACTGGCTTCAAGAGGTATATCCTGGAGTTCTAGTGAGAAGTAGTGGCCAGTGGAGTTCAACCTGGTCTGTTGTGAGATATTAACTGACTGAAGACAATGGTGGATGTGTCGCTCATTTTCGTGGATTAGTTGAAGTTAGACATTAACATCATGGGATGCCGGCTTGGTGGTCTAGTGGTTAAGTGCTCAAGCGCGAGACCAGTAGGTCCTGGGTTCGAATCCCGTAGGGGGCGAGGTCGTGGATGCGCACTGCTAAGGAGTCCCATAATAGGACGGAACGACCGTTCAGTGCTTCCAGGTTTTCCATGGTGGTCTAGCTTCAATTGACTCATGATCTTAACCATTGAAATTACTATAATGTCCACAAAACCATTTCTGATCATTTTAATACTTAACTGAGTCCTGTGGTGTTTGCTACTGATGTTGATAGATATATGTAGTATATATCATTAATCGAAAATGAAATACCTGGCAGCAGAAGGTTCACAAGATCGAAGAGGAGAGAACGAGAACAAAGAATGGTTGGTGTTGAAACGAAAGAACAATAAAGTCTGAAATGATTGATTGACATTTTTCAAATGAAGTATTCTTAGATTTTACTAAAAGATTCTGGAATTTGGTGTTCAAATACATTCAGCATTCTTATTCACTACAGTCCTATATTATTGAATCTGTATGAATCTAGTTTGTCGTGTTGTATTGTTTAGCCAAATGTTAATATATATCCATTGTATTGTATAGTCGTTAGTTTTTCTTACATATTGATCGCTTTGTTATAACGAATTGTCATTTGGATAACCATTCAATTATCTATTTTTGTTATATCTTGGTGAATTCAACTGAAAACATTTCGTTGTTGTTATACATATCAACTATAAACAGCTTTAAATTTACTTGGTGTTATTTTAATTGTATCTTCCCATTGTTGTTTCAGGACTACAATTGTTCAGTCTCCTGTTGGTTGGTATATGTTCATCCTGTGTGGATTGTCTCGATACTACCTTAAGTCATAAGCTTGTTAAGCAAAGATGAATAGTGGCTAACAGTGGGATCCAGCTTCACACACGTTTCTACATATTTGGAACTTATCAGCTCGATATACCTGGATCCTGCTTTAGTTTTCTTCTAACCTACTTCTACACCAGCAACGTTGATGATGGTCAATCAATTGTAGTATACGTCTTAGATACCTCAGTCAATGAAAATTTACAGCTTCGTCGACCATGTTGTCATGTCTGTCTACTATCTTAGCAAATTTTACCGGAAACATTTAGTAGTCGCATATATATATATATATATATATATATATATATATATATATATATATATATATATATATTAACTATAGACATACCTCACATCGTAAACAGGTAATTCGTATTAATGTATCCTCTCGTGTTCCAAGTCCATACATACTATCATATAATTGACAGACTAATAACAAACGTAAATCTATCAATGCCATAACTGTTTTGAAAAAGAAAAAAAAATTGTACACTTAATATACATAACAGATTATTAAATTTCAAAAGAGGTTTTATAGTTAGTTTAAATGGAATTGAGCACCTTACTAGTGTCATCAATTATTCATGAGTTAAAAGAAGTCACAGTTTTGAAATGATTATGTCCTACTTATTCACAGTTGATTGTGGATATTGACAGATATAAGTAGTATATATCACTAATCGAAAGTGAAATATCTGCCAGTAGAAGGTTAAGAAGATCAAACAGAACAGAGTGAGGATTGAGAGTAATTAGTATGGAAACAAAAGAACAATGAAGTCTGAGATATTTTGCAAATGAAGTATTCACTGTATGATTGTCTGATTTAATCAGTCACTCAGCTACAACGTAGAACCATGTTGCTATACATCATTAGCACAACAAGATGAACACCGAATTCATAGAATTAGTTACTTCAATGAAGGTAATATATGTAAGAAAGATCGCATTTAAAGATATAGTACAGAAAGAAAGATATAAAGCGATTTTAATCTCACCGTTCAAGGGAAGACGAGGTGTTTATACACTGACGCCATGTTGATCGATTCTGAGTCATGTCATCCAGAGTCTCCAACTATTGACTATAATAGTCATGCGAACCCTAACCATGTAGTCTGCGTCTACTAACATGGCTAGAAGTTAGTGACTTCAAGCACTGATGCGACGTTTTTGTTTGGCAGTGTCTGAATTTCTTTCAACCATTCCCAACACTAGTCAGCATTGTGAGTCATGGTAATTGGTGTTCAGGCATACGTAACACGTGGCCCAACCATCTCAACCGACGAAAATTGACAACCTCATCAATTTATTTACCATCCTTCCCTAATACCCTGCGTCTAACCTTACTATTACTTACCCGGTGATCCCAGCAGATACCCGCAATATTTCTAAGGCACCGGTGGTCAAATACTAGTAACTTACGAGTATCTTCTACTCTTAAAAGCCATGTTTTACAGCCGTATAGTAGAACGGAACGAACTACCGCGCAGTATACTCGTCCCTTAATTGATAGACGGATATTGTGTTCAAATACATTCGATTGTTCTCACTGGTGTTATCGTTCACTACAACTTAATAATGATTCAGAGAATGCATACAAGAATTTTACGTCCAATAGCCAGATACAAATCTACTTTACCCACTTTGTCGTTATGCTAATAAACCATACTTTTAGTTCTTTTAACAGTTTGTCACTGGCTTTCATTCTCATCAGTAATTAGATAAGTCATACTATTTCGATTGAATATTTTTAAAGAAATGGTAATTGTTATTCATATAGAGTCAGTTACTTGGTTAATTGATCAGTACTGTCATCTACATGAATGTAGTATTTTGCCAGTTTAATTGATCAGTCATAAAAGACCTTTGTTGTTTTTGAATGATTCATATTATAAGAATCATCAGGGTATATTATTGTCTATTATAAGAGTTTATAATTAGGTTTAGTTCAAATCTTATCTTACGTATCTGTACCTTAATTAAATAACAATCTATTTATCATAAATTTCATACTATCCATCTATAGTTGATTCCACTTCACGTCAATCTATATTATATGTGTAGTAGTATTGAATAAAAAGTATTATAATCAATTCAGATGATGTAGATCTTCATAACATCACCAGTTGATTTTGATAAATCTCGATAAAGTTCACTAACTGTTTATGTGATAATACATGAATACATGTAATCCATACTTGATGTATGATATCAAACCAAAAGCTTTTCAACTTCTTTTATCTGCAATAAATTTTACTGTTAATCATTATTCTATATATCTTATAATAAGAAATTACCATGGTATGGTTGAGAGTGGAGAGAGAGTCAATTGTTCCTCTAGAAATGCTCTTACATGGCTACATGCATACAAATACTGTCAGGTTATTCCTACTCACTGACCTCTCGTGGTGGGGGTGTTGTTTACAAAGTTGAGAGGACGAAAAATGAGTGTCCGGCGCTTTAATCGGTTTGGTGGATATGGAGGATCCACCTAGAGGAGTTGGAAAACCTTGATTCCAAACCAATGGTGCATATGGACTCCAGTATTCTAAGGTTAGGGTTAACTCTGCCTGGAGTCTCTTTCGGGGGGCTACTGCCGGTCCCAAGCCCGGATAAAGGAGGAGGGTAGGGCATGGGGTAAGCAACCTCATCCCGTAGAAAACTAACTCGCTAAAAAACGCTAACCAGAAAAAATTATTCAAACCATTTAAAATCTGCCCTGGGAGTCAGGAGGTCTTTGTTTAGAAGAATTATGACGCCTCATGATGAAAGCCGAGTTTCTTCGGAAGTCACGAGGCCGATGCCCCTTCTGACAACCAAAGCAACCATTTATTTAGGTACATGGAACGCTCGCACAATGTGGGAGACTGGGAGAGTTTTCTAAATTGCTGCAGAAATGAGGAGATACAATTTGGAGGTGCTTGAGATCAGTGAAACACATTAGACGCAAGTGGGACAACAACGACTAGCTTCAGGGGAGCTGCTGTTATACTCCGGACATGAACAAGAAAATGCTCCACATACACAAGGAGTTGCATTGATGCTGTCCAAACAAGCACAAAATGCACTTATAGGATGGGAATCTCATGGACCAAGGATCATCAAAGCCTCCTTCACAACAAAGAAAACGGGGATTACAGTGAACGTCATCCAATGCTACGCGCCTACCAACGACTAGAATAAAGACGCTAAAGATCAATTCTACGATAGGCTTCAGTCAATCGTCGAGAAGTGCCCAACAAAAGACCTGACTATTCTGATGGGAGACCTAAATGCCGAGGTTGGAATTGACAACACCGGATATGAAGAGATCATGGGACGACACGGACTGGGAGAAAGGAACGAAAATGGTGAGAGATTTGCAAATCTATGTGCCTTCAATAAACTGGTCATAGGCGGGACTATATTCCTACATAAACGCATACACAAAACCACATGGACTTCACCGGATCACACCACACAGAACCAAATCGACCATATCTGCATCAACAAAAAGTTCAGGAGGACGATGGAGGACGTGAGAACAAAGAGAGGAGCTGATATAGCATCAGATCATCACTTGCTGGCCGCCAAGATGAAATTGAAACTCAAGAGGCACTGGACAACGGGGAGGACAATATCACAAAAATTTAATACGGCTCTTCTTCGGGATAATGAAAAACTCAATAAATTCAAGATAACCCTCAGCAATAAGTTCCAAGCCTTTCATGATCTACTCAATTAAGAAGAAACTACTATGGAGAGCGACTGCAAAGAGATAAAAGAAGCAATCATTTCAACATGTCATGGGGTTCTGGGCCAGAAGAAGCACCACCACAAGGATTGGACCACGGTCGATATATTGGATAAGATTCAAGAAAGGAGGAACAAGAAGGCAGCAATCAGTACCAGTCGAACAAGAGCAGAAAAAGCCAAGGCACAGGCTGAATACACAGAAATAAACAAGCAAGTGAAGAGGAGCATCAGTACTGACAAACGTAAATATGTGGAAGATTTGGCAATGACGGCGGATAAGGCTGCCAGAGAAGGGAACATGAGACAACTGTATGAAACAACAAAGAAACTCTCTGGAAATCACCGTAAACCAGAACGACCAGTGAAAAGCAAGGAAGGCAAGATAATCACCAACATTGAAGAACAACGAAACAGGTGGGTAGAACACTTCAAAGAACTCTTGAATCGACCAGCCCCACTGAACCCACCCAATATCGAAGCTGCACTCACGGACCTCCCAATTGATGTTGGCCCACCAACAATTGGAGAAATCAGCATGGCTATCAGACAAATCAAGAGTGGCAAATCAGCAGGACTAGACAGTATTCCAGCAGAGGCACTGAAAGCAGACGTAGCGGCAACTGCAGGGATACTCTAAACTCTCTTCAGAAAGATCTGGGATGAGGATTAGGTACCAAAAGACTGGAAAGAAGGACTTATAGTCAAAATACTAAAGAAAGGCGATCTCAGCAACTGTGACAACTACAGGGGAATCACTCTTCTTTCAATACCGGGAAAAGTCTTCAACAGGGTATTGTTAAACAGGATGAAGGACTCCGTAGACGCCCAACTTCGAGACCAACAGGCAGGATTCCGTAAGGATAGATCGTGCACAGACCAAATCGCAACTCTACGGATCATTGTGGAACAATCGATTGAATGGAATTCATCACTCTATATCAACTTCATCGACTACGAAAAAGCATTTGATAGCGTGGACAGAACAACCCTATGGAAGCTTCTTCGACACTACGGCGTGCCTCAGAAGATAGTCAATATCATACGGAATTCCTATGATGGATTAAACTGCAAAATCGTTCATGGAGGACAGTTGACAAAGTCGTTCGACGTAAAGATCGGTGTCAAGCAAGGTTGGTTACTCTCACCCTTTCTCTTTCTCCTGGTGATCGACTGGATCATGAAGACATCAACATCTGAAGGGAAGCACGGGATACAGTGGACAGCTAGGATGCAATTGGATGATCTAGACTTCGCAGATGATCTGGCTCTTCTATCGCATACGCAACAAGAAATGCTGGAGAAGACAACCAGTGTAGCTGCAGCCTCAGCAGCAATAGGTCTCAATATACACAAAGGGAAAAGCAAGATTCTCCGATACAACACAGCATGTAACAATCCAATCACAATTGACGGAGAAGCTTTGGAAGATGTTAAAACCTTTACATATTTGGGCAGTATCATCGATGAACACGGTGGATCCGATGTAGATGTGAAGGCACGGATTGGCAAAGCAAGAGCAGCATATTTACAACTGAAGAATATCTGGAACTCAAAACAATTGGCAACCAACACCAAAGTCAGAATTTTCAATACAAATGTGAAGACAGTTCTACTCTAAGGAGCGGAAACCTGGAAAACTACGAAATCCATCGTCCAAAAGATACAGGTGTTTATTAACAGTTGTCTACGCAAAATACTTCAGATCCGTTGGCCGGACACTATTAGCAACAACCTACTGTGGGAGAGAACAAATCAGATCCCAGTGGAGGAAGAAATCAGGAAGAAGCGCTGGAAGTGGATAGGACACACATTGAGGAAAGCACCGAACTGCGTCACAAGACAAGCCCTCACATGGAATCCTCAAGGTCGAAGGAGGAGAGGAAGACCAAAGAATACATTACGCCGAGAAATGGAGATAGACATGAGAAAAATGAACAAGAATTGGATGGAACTAGAAAAGAAGGCGCAGGACAGAGTGGGTTGGAGAATGAATGCTGGTCGGCGGCGTATGCTCCATTGGGAGTTACAGGCGTAAGTAAGTAAGTAAGTAAGTAAGTAAGTAAGTAAGTAATTCTAATGTTGCCGGTTACCATTGGACTGAATCGCCTTACATTGCTTCACTGCCTAGTGGATTATATCTTTAGGTGTTATTATTATTATTTGAACACATTGATATTGGTACAAGGCGGCACCAAAATTATATGCGCCACACAAATCTCATTTGATTTAAGTGAGGGCTGTCATACTGCTCGGGTGCCCAAACCAAAGCAGGTGGTTTTCTTAGGGAGCCACACCCCGAGCCTTTGACCTAAAGGTCTGATTCACAAGGCAGTAGAACAACGTAAGGTGATGCAGTCTCATGGTAGCCGGTGACTAACGATTGGATCATACGCCATTTGTTCCTTCAGGATATTGGAGTCCATGTGCACCATTGGTTTGGAATGAGGGTTTTCCAACTCCCCTAGGTGAACTCTCCGGATATTTTCATTTTATCCTTTCGATTTTGTAAACAACACCCACGTCACGAGAAGGCAGTGAGTAGGACTTCCCTGGCAGAGGCTCTATACGCGTGGTCATGTGAAAGCATTTAGAGAGGGAGAGCGGACTCTCCCCATTCTCGGCCGTAAGAGGGCATTTGCTTAGAAAGCCGGGCAGTATCTCAGCCCTCACACAAATCGAATGACTTGCGTGGGGCATATCTGTGTTGGTATCTCCTTGTATCAATGTTTATGTGTTTAACCAAATGAATAACTTAACACCGGAAACATTGAAACATACTCAAAAATAAAAAAAATACATTTATATATAGAAATGGATAATAAATTTAGAAAATGTTTCACTTACTCATTGTATTTAACCCTGATCTAAATGGCTCTGAGAATTTTTTCGATATAACTTCAACTATTGTAGTATGATATTTCTATAAATAGAATATAAATGACATATATAACTACAATCAGAAGGGGTTTTGTAGGGATTTTTAGAAAATTTGTAACTTTATGGATCGGTTGAAGTTGGACGTTAACACCGCTGGATGCCGACCGTCTCAGTGCTCTAACGTTTAAGCGCTCGCGCGTGAGGTTGATAGGTCCTGGGTTCGGATCTCGCTGGGGGCGGGATCGTGGATGCGCACTGCTGAGGAATCCCATAGCAGAACGAAACGACCATCCAGTGCTTCCAGGTTTCCGATGTTGGTCTAGCTTCCATTGACTCATGAATTCAACCACTGAAATATACAACTATAACATATAGAATACTTTCTATTGTTTAAGTTGTATATTAATTATGATCTTTATGAAATTATCCCTTCAGTGATTTTTCAGTGTTTTATTTAAGATAGTTCTAGATTAGTTACTTGGAACCAAAACGTAGAGAACTACCACAGTGATCATCAAAATGGTATCAGTATTTATAAACAGTTGTCTATGTAAGATACTGAGTGTCTGTTAACCGGTTACCATCAGTAACAGCCTACTTTGAGATAGAACAAAGCAGGTTCCATCTGCGGAGGAAGTTAGGAAAATACATTGGAAGTGGATAGGAGATACATTGAGGAAATCATCAAACTGCATTACGAAACAAGCCCTAACTTGTAATCCTGAAAAGGGAGACCAAAGAATACAGTGTGTCGGGAATTGGAAGCAGATATGAAAAGGATTGCCCAGGACAGAGTTGGATCGAAAGTGCTGGTTAGCGGCCCATGCTCATTCATGCGGGATAACAGGCGTAAGTAATTAAGTAAGTAAGCATAATTTTTGTAAAGAAATGTGAATGTTGTTATTTCCATTCCTACTATAGCCTTTAATATGCATTACTGAGAAACTAAAAGATAGAATACAGTAGTAGTTCAGTGATCTTTGCTAGTTAATAATTCCTCAATCTTTGCTAATTAGTGATAAAAATTATTTTCCCTAATAATAAGATCTATTAAAAACTTATTATCTAATTTGATTTAATCGTAAGCGTTTTTAGTGAGTTAGTTTTCTACGGGACAGGGTTGCTAACCCCATGCCAAACCCTCCTGTATCCGGGCTTGGGACCGGAAGTAGCCTCAGAGGGGATCCAGGCAAAGTTTTGAATTAAAGGTAAGCAACGTAATTACAAATCAGTTTTTATCTAGTAACATTGGAAAACAACATATTCATAAGGTTTTCAAATATAATAACTAGGATCTTTTGATAGAATATAGAATTTTCAGCACAAAATCTATTAACAAGTTTCCCATTTCTTATTTCTTGGTCAATCTTGACGATAACATATTGAATAATCATTAGTTAGATGTTAGCAGTTCAGGAATCAACATCTGAATAATGTTCATTCTTTTTGATAGATAATATTGTCTTCAAACACAATATCTATGATTGCATTCTTTTATAACTTGTACAGCAAAAAGGTAACTCCGCCTGGAGTCCCTTCCGGGGGGGGGGGCTACTGCCGGTCCCTAGCCTGGATAAAGGAGGAGGGTTGGGCATGGGGTTAGCGACCCCATCCCGTAGAAAACTAATTCGCTAAAAAAAACGCTAACCAGAAAAACAGCAAAATGGTCATATGCCTTCTCTATCGAGCATCATTTCGTGTCGCTTCTTTCGCTTCATCTCTCTGATTGTCTATTGCAATCAACAATTATATGAAGTATACATACATATATCTATTCTCATTAATACAAGTTAAGTCAATGATTATATACGAGGCTTGGGGATATGTCTACTTCATTAGCGATCATTTATGTGATCGATCTGGAATTAGATCTTGATAGTGATCAAAAATTATATTCTTTAATTATCAATTATATTGTATGTTAATACTTACACATAAATATAAATCCCATATTTCTTTTACATGATATTTACTTCGTTTGGTTAAAATTTTAATGAATGTTTCAAAATCTCCTTTACCTGCACGTCTACATCACACACACACACAGGCACACACACACACAATAAAAAAGATAATAGGAATTAATATAATCAATATGTTATATGATGTAATCAATGAAATCTATTGTAATGGTAATATTTATCACTAAGTGAATTGAGTTAGAGATCTTCAATTGATTCATGATTTCAACCAGTGAAATTAATAAGTACTCCACAAGAGATACTCATGGAGTGCTTGTGAGAAGCCGTGATCAGTGAAGTTCAACCAGGTCTGTTGTGAGATATCAACTCACTGAAGACAATGGTGGACGGTGATGCAACTTTGTGGATTGGTTGAAGTTAGACATTAACACCATGGGATGCCGGCTCGGTAGTCTAGTGGTTAAGTGCTCACGCGCGAGACCAGTAGGTCCTGGGTTCGAATCTCGTAGGGGACGAGGTCGTGGATGCGCACTGCTGAGTCCCATAATAGGACAGAATGACTGTCCAGGTTTCTCATGTTGGTCTAGCTTCAAACAAGAATGTTGGAAACCTATTTTCACTTAGGTAATCATTAATTGTGTACATCTGCAGTGAGCAGAACATCAGGGGGGGGACAATCGAACGTATTTGACACACAAATTACAGAGCATCTCAATAAAAGCTAACAATCATATAATAAATCCTCAATTTGCAAAATGACCATCACTTGTCTCAAAATGGCCCAGATCTCATTGTTCTTTCATTTTCATACAAATCTTATTCTGTTTCCATTCTTTACTGTTTGATCCTCTTGTCTCTCTACTGCCAGACATTCAGTATCTGACTAACGTCATATACTACTTATGTCAGTATACGTAGTACACACCACACATCTATGATAAAATACTAGATTAAATTAAAGGCTTTTGAGATTTTTACTAAATACAATGTTTTAAACTTGTCAATGATTCATATATTGAAATTCTGCCAGTTTGTAGTTCAACAATATAATCTTTATATAGTATCACTGTGTGCTAGTCGGCGGCCCGTGCTCTATCGAGAGTAATAGGTGTGTGCTACTGATGTTGACTAATATAAGTAGTATATATCAGTGATCGAAGGTGAAATACCCGATGGCAAAAAGTTAAGAGAATTCAAAAAAAGAGAACGAGAATGAGTGCTGTGGAAACAATGGAACAGTGAAGTCTAAGATGACTGACTGACATTTTGCAAATGAAAGTATTTAGTATACAATTCTCAGATTTTAGTAAAATGTTCTGTCATTTATGTGTTCAAATGTATTCGGTTTTCCTTACTGGTGTTCTCGTTCACTATACTACCTATGATTTATTGTTTTATACTTGACTTATTTGATGTGATTGATTTCGGCTCAATGCTGCTGAGTCATTAAACATCTTGCTGATATCACTCTCTGATGAAATTTGTCGTCGAATTGTTCGAATTCTATCGAAAATCACCTCAGTTATTTAAAATAAATAGGAAAACAAATGATAATAAGAGAATACATTTATAAGCCAGGGTTAATTAACAACATCTATTTTGTTCTACACCGGGAATCGGATGCAGACATCAAAAGGATGAATTGCAATTGGAAACAACTGGCAAGGATTGTGCGGGATGGAGTTTAATAGAGGATGCTGGTGGGCGGCATATGTTCCCCCACGAGAAGTAACAGGAGTAAGTAAGTTAGTGTTTTGTTTAGACAAAAGTGATTCAAATCACAGATCAAACTTCATCTTGTCTAACATACGCAGTGTTTCAATACATACTGGCGACTAATATGATTTATATTTTGCTTTCGGTTTCAGTCATAGATATAAATTAAAATAAAATTCTTTTGAATTACTTAGGTAGCATCAGTCTCCTCAGGAATACATATACGTCAGATAAATCGAATGATTTATGTGAGGGCTGGGATACTGCCTGAGTGCTCAAACCGAAGCAGGTGGTTTTCTTAGGGGGCCGCACGCCGAGCCTTCAACAAAAATGTCTGATCCACAAGGCAGTGGAGATGCAATTCTATGGTAGCCGGTGATCAACGATTAGTTCGTATCCATTTGTTCCTTCAATATACTGAAGCCAATATGCACTATTGGTTTAAAATCAGGGTTTTCCAACCACCCTAGGTCGACTTTCTGTGTTCATCGACACAGTTGAAGCGCCGGACATTTGATTTTCATCCTCTCAATTTCTTATACAATACCTCCAGTCACTTAAAATCTACTTGACGTTTTTAGTGATGTTTACCATTAAACGATGTTAATGAATTATTTAATATTCAAGAAAATTAAAACTAGCACAAATAATCACTCACAATTAATTGGCCACTGGGTGGTGATCAATGTCATGTGTTTCAAGTCCTTATTAATGCAGATCGATTGCTATCGACCATATTGTAATGTGGCCACTAGTCTAGGTGACTCGACACTGCGTGCACTATGCCGCGCGGCTCAGATAGCTCAATGGTAACTTCTCAACATAGTGCACGCAGTGTCAAGTCACCTAGACTGGTGACCACATTGCAACATGGTCGATAGCATTCAATCTCCACTAATAAGGACTAGACATGTATGACATTGATCACCACTCAATGATCAATTAATTGTGATTACATCTCAGTCCTACAGGAGATCGGTCGCGGCCCGGATAGCTCAGTAGTAACGTCACTGACTATGAAGCTGGATGATACGGGATTGAATCCGTCAGGGAGCACCCGTTCTCTCAAGATTACAGATACATCTTGTTGACGAGTGCTAAATAGCACAAAACCCGTGTTCAAGGTTTCCTATTGACTACCTCCAACCATTATCTAACAAGTAATCAGTATTATGTGCTTAATCAATCCTTGAACGAAATCAAATCAAATATTGATTAATTATTATTAATAGACTTACTTTTCTCCAGCATAATATAAATCTTCAACATCTTTATCAACTTGACTTCGATTAATTAATCTTGATGTACTTCTAGTTCTTACAGATTCTTCTACTAAATCCAATGGATCTTCATCACGTTTTCCTTGTAATAATGCTACTAATAATTGTTCATATGGTGGTTTTGTTTCTTTAATTATATCACTTTCAAGTGTACGTTGTGAAGCTTCTACATAAAGATAATCAATGTAGTTATTTATTCAATTACTAGATATTATCAATATATTTAGTTGATTGGGTAAAACTATAATTTATAGACGAACCAATCAGATTGAAAATAGCGGATTTTTGGTTTTGGTGCGAGTTTTGGTGCAGGTGTATCCATTCTTTGTGTTCTCCCGAATTCTAATCTTCTTAATTCTTCGTATTCCTTATTTTCTCTCTTTTCAAATCTATTTAATTGAATTATACTCCTTGAATAACATCATCAAACCCTAATCTTTCAGATTACTGCTTATACGTTTACTATCTCTACCACTACGGGATTTGAATCGACAATTGCATATGTGTGTTAATGTTGTATGGCAACTCGAACTGATGTACGTATTTACGTACATACGAAGCTCTACGTTGTTGCTAACTGAATGTTATATAGGCTAGATTATAATTTATGGACGAACCAATCAGATTTAAGATAATATGTCTCGGATTTTCGTGCAAAATTCACTCATCCATTTGGATAAATAGAGTTTTGGCATTTTAACTGATATCAGTTCATGATGAATAAGTGTAAATCTAATCCCTAACCTTAATCATAATCCTTATTGTTCAGACTACTTTATAACCTTCATTTAACGCTGGTAAGTAGGTAAACACTTTTAAGGTCACTTTGGTGTCATTCAAAGGTCGTTCATAAATGATTGACAAGTGTTAATAGAACAAAATGTAAAAAGCAATTCAATAAACAATATGGAAGAGAGTTTTGATCTTTGAATTGGATGGTTTGATTATGGAGCTTTCATCGTTCTTCTGACTGACATCATCAGCATAAACTGTAGAAAAGTGAAGTGTTCGAATTTCTCCATATATGACTTAGCTTATCTTGTAGACCCCAATCTTGATTGGTTATTGTTGACTATTAATTTGTTATTGTCTTTAAAATAAGAAAATTTCTTACTTAAGTCAAACTAATTTTAATTCTTATTTGTTGAATGAGAGGTACAACTTGTAAATCCAACCTCCAACATTAAAGGTCGAATTCACGGTTTTACACTTTCCTACACTATTTCTTAGTTTTCAGTCAGATCCATCGGTGAAACTGTTCGAACATAACGGTTCGTTAACTTTCTAACTCAGAAAAAATCTTGATAGTGGTATCAAACAATATAAGAGGATAGCAAGTTTACATTAAGGATGATACTCAGCAATGATGCTGAATAATAAGCACACATCCTGATATGTAAAAAGATTGGGGGGCCCTTTATTTTATCATCATTTAGATCGGACGATGTTGTCGACGGGCTCTTCAGTTTAGTGGCTCGAGATCTGACTCGAAGTAGATCGCATAAATGATTGTTATTGAATGATTGCTGTCAAAATGTATATGACGCCTATTCTCGTATATAATCATTGACACAAATTGCGTTAGTCAATAATGGAATTAGATATATATTTTGTATATGGAGTGAATGGAATAGAGAGAAACGAAATGACGCGCAATAGAGATGGCGGGTAAGCCAACTCTGTTTAGTCAACTGTGGATCAATATTTATAGGCACACACAAAATAAGTTACAAACATGTGATGATTAATGGGATAAGAAGAGAACACACACCTACGCTCTCATATAAAAACATTCAAGATTGATAAGCGAATAATTGGCAAGGTTAGAATGTGACTCAATTAGAATGAATAGAATGGGCTGTCCGAAAGTTAGAATAATGAGATATATGGTTTTAACATAATAACCGACACTACAAAATAGATATAGCTCAATGATTTATTGACAACATACTAATTACAACGAACGAATAATTAAGTCTTCATAACTTATTATGATAGAATTTAGAGGTTAACCGCTTGCGTGCGAAACCGAAGGTTCTGGGTTCGAATTCCGCCTGCAGGATCATAAATGCGCACTGTTGAATCCCATATTGAGACAAAACGATCGTCCAGTGCTTCCAGGTTTTCTATAGTGGTCTAGATTTAATTGACTCATGAACTCAACTATTGAATTCATAAAATAATCATCACATACTAACAACAGCTAATCTGCCTAAACGCTATTTAGTCAAATGTATGAAAATTTCGTGGCCAAATTCGTTCATAAATTATAGTCTCTCCACTTAGTATTGTTTGGCTTGTATCTTCCCATTAATATTGAAGACACTGTAATTGATCAGTCTGTGTTTGACATATGTGCATACTGTACGTATGCGTTGATATTGCCTTAATTCACAAGCTTTTTGTAGTGTGAGCAATGATGGATAGTGGCTAGCAGTCTCTCCACTTTGAAACTGTTTGAAAGAAACGATCTTTAAAATTTAATACTTTTCTACTAACTACTTATAAGTAGTATAAATTTTAATATGAAAAATATTTTAGATGTAAATATTAAAAATCCTTACTTTTTGGCTCTTCTTCATGAAGCACTATATAAATAGAATCAAGATAAACATATTTATCATAAAAGAGTTATTTAGCTAACAGATTTCTTAAATGGTTGATAATACAATGAATTATGTAATAGGTAAGTGACATATTTTCTTCAAAGTTACATTCTTTCCATTAATTCTTATTATTTATATATGTGAACACTGAATACATATGCGCCTTACAAGTCATTTGATATGTGTGTGGGCTGTGATACTGCCGGGTACCCAAACCGAATCAGTTGGTTTTCTTAAGGAACCAAACCTGGAATCTTCGACCTAAATGTCTGATTCACACGACGATACACTCCTATAGTAGCCAGTGACCAGTAATTGGATCATACGCCACTTGTTACCTCGAGATACTGGAGCCTATGTAGAACGTTGGTTTGAAATTAGGGTTTTCCAACTCCCCAAAGGATCTTCCATAACCAGCAACTTGGTTAAAGTGCCAAACATTCGGTTTTCGTCCTCTTATTTTCGTAAACAGCAGCCATGGTGCGAGAAGGCGATGAGCAGGACTTCTCTGGTAGTGGTTGTATGCACATGTCCATGTGACAGCATATTGAGAGAGAGATAGAGTGTGTGTGCGTGTGTTGACTCTCGCTACTCTCGGCCGTATTAGGGCATTTGGGGGAATAAACGGAATGTGTCTGCCAGGATTCATGTAAATTATTTAGGTAATTAGTCATAATATTGATTATAAAATTATACTTCATTTGAATTGATTTGATTGCTTTATTCTATTTAATCTCCCTTAACATCCGTAGATGAATAAATCCTTATTTTCAGTTGTATCCCTAATTCTTAGTATACATTTCAGTGTATAGAATATCATCAACCTTTTGATGACTTTGCAGAAGATACAGTGACACGATAGGCTATTCTAATCTAATGTCCCCGGTCCTGGTAACTATACCAAGAAGTCTTGATGAGGCGTAGAGAATGTATTCTACAAGCTCCCAGAAAATACGTGATCACTAAACTCACAAATCAAGTTTATTTATACAATGATAGAAATGCCCTTAGAAGAGCCACAAAATAGCGTACTAGAAATAATCCGTCAACCAATGACATTCAAGGATTTCCGTGTGGGAAATTTAAGCTGTAGGTTAACTAAGCGTTTATTGGCGCGTAAACAGAAAATTCAAATTTTCGGAATAAAATTATGAAATTAAAACCTTTTTCAAGTGAGTTCTGGGGATCTAACGTCTTCAACAGCTCCCCTTATGTATAAATGGATTGGACAACCATTAGATTTCTGAAAAGTGACTAAATACTATTGTAGACTACAACCTATTTCATTTAAGTGGTCATATATTCTAAGAAGAATCAAAGATGTTAGTCATTTTATTGTTTTCTTGACAGTCTAAACAGGCTAAAACATTATTGCGCAGTTCAAAGTAGTTGACAGGATACCATGGACTAAGGTTTTGAGTTATTCAGCACTCATCAGTAAAGTGTACTAGCAATATTGAGGTAGCTGATATGATATTGTGGTAGTAGTGTTGTGAACAGAAACACCAATGAGGACAGTCGAATATATTTGAGCACAAAATTACAGAGCATCTCAATAAAATGTGAGAACCATATATAGTAAATTGTTAATTTGCAAAATATCAATCCATCATATCAAACTTGATTGTTTCTGTTGTAAACATCAATCCATTGTGTCAGATTTCATTGTTCATGCATTTTCATACTAATTGCGTTCCGTTCTCGTTCTTTACTCATCGACCTTCTACTGAAATACATTCTATGCTTGACCAACGTTATATACTACTTGTGTGGATATAAGTAATCCACACCGCACTCGTCCCCCTTTTAAAGGCCGTCGTTTTTGCGGTGGTTCATGTTCGCCGTGCCACATTCTTCTTTTCTGCAATCTGTGTCACTCTCTCTGTCAAAATGTCGAGTATGTGGCGCGCTGTCCTCCATAGCTCCGTTGATCTGCCGGGGCACTAATATCCGATATCCACCCGGTACCTGTAACGTCTAACACCCGTGCTCCACTGGCCTGTTGAGTCATCTACTTCCGATGCTTGCCCAACAGCCGCATATCTCACCCTAACCCACATCATGGTAGGTATACCTTACTGACGTGTTTCAAGCAGTGAGAAATCTATGTCCAGTGTTTATAGATGACATCTTTGAAACACTAGAAATCAAAAGATATTATACGCTATTTTGAGTCATTTTTATTAATAGCCTCAGTATAACTTGACTGACAGAATTCAGTCTACCTTAAAGGATAGGATAAACATTACAATATCAAAGATTCAGTGATCAATCAATTGCAGATTGGGTAATCAAATGTTTTTGATTTCCAGTGGTTCTTCATTGATCATTATATATAAATATAATCTGAATATTTAAGAACAATTGGTATAATTGTGTTATGTACTATTGATATCGACAGATATAAGTAGTATGTATCATCAATCGAAAGTGAAATGATTGGCGGCAGAAGGTTAAGAAGATCGATGGAAAGATAACAAGAACAGAAATGATTGGTGTGGTGATGTAGGAAGAATGAAGTCTGAGATGATTGATTGACATTTTGTAAATGATCTATTTACTGTATGGTTCTCACATTCTACTAAGAGATTCTATAATTTTATATTCAAATGTATTTGGTTATTCTAACTTGTATTCTCTTTCACTACATTATCATTTCAATAAATAAACAAACTAGACTCTTATGATAAACCTGAAAGTATTGGACAATCATTTTCATCCTAATATGGAACTCCTTAACAATGCACATCCATGATCCAATCCCTCGGAACAAAACAATCATCCATTACTTTCAGGTTCTCCAAGATCATTTATACATTCAACTATCATAAACACAATACCTTCTATTATAAAAATAAATAAACAATAAAATCAATAAAAATGTTATAATTACCTTCTTGATATGCTTTTTTTAACATAATAATTTCATTATTATTACAACAACATATAATCTCATTAATAATATCTGGTTTCTTTATACCTTTATATAAATCATGGGCTAATATTTGTATACTTCCACGAAATAATGTTTTAATAAGACTTTCATAATCACCTTTTGTTGCATTACATAATACATGAATTAAATCCTTTAAAAGTAAACAACAAAAAAAAATAATATGAGTTTCATTCCAAAAAAAAAAAAAGAAGAAGATATCATCTATAAATCTGATTGGTTAATGAATAGTATTGATTTAATGATCATTAAGAGGTTAAGTGTTCGCTGGCAAAACCATTGGGTTCTAGGTTTGAATCCTATGGGTATGATTATGGGTGCATGTTGTTGAGGAGTCTTATACTAGGATGAAATTGTCACTTAGTGCATTGAGGTTTTCCATGGTAACTCATTATTATTATTATTATTTATTATTATTATTATTTATTATTTTGACACATAGATATTGGTACAAGGAGGCATCAAATGCATATGCGCCACACAGATCTCATTTGATATGTGTGAGGACTGTGATACTGCTCGGGTGCCCAAACCGAAGCAGGTGGTTTTCTTAGAGGGCCACACCCGGAGGCTTTGACCTCAAGATCTGACCTACAAGACAGTGGAGCATCATAAGGAGATGCAGTCCCATGGTAGCCGATGACCAAAGATTGGTTCATACACCATTTATTCCTTCAGGATACTGGAGCCAGCCCATGTGCACCATTGGTTTGAAATCCGGTTAAAGCCGATGCCGGACATTCGCTTTTCGTCCTCTCATTTTCGTAAACAAGACCTGTGGTGCGAGAAGGCAGTGAGTAAGACTTCACTGTCAGATGCTATATACGTGTGGCTATGTGAGAGCATTTTTCTAGGGAGAGTGGACTCTCCCCACTCTTTGCCGTACCAGGGCATTTGGGGACCTATGAATTCAGCCATCAATAATTATGAAATTGTTCAAACAGTTATTGGAAATTGGTAAACATGGAAAGACTCGATATATGTAACCTATCTAAATACATTGAAAATCAAGACTAATGCCTTTAAGTCTAGTGGTAGTCGTTTTATTTTGAAAAGCTTATTATTATGATATATAACACTTGGTAAATTGTATTTGATTTATCTATGTAATATTCTAATGTATAATTCATGCTGTAAATTGGTCTTATCTAGCTGTTGAAAATGTAACCTTTCTTTTGACAACTCATAAGATACCGTACTCAACATGAATCTTTCGATTGTTGTGTTAGGACTGTAATTGATCAATCTCTTATTGACATATATGTATACTGTACGTATTGCCTCGATATTGCCTTAAGTCACAAGCTTTTTAAGCAAAGATGGATAGTGGCTAGTAGTGGAATCGAGAACGCTCGTTTCGCCATGATAGCATTTGAAGCGAAAGTTACTGAATTCGAGTCCTAGAATGAATATCAGAAATGAGATGCAGGTACATCCAGGTGAAAAGTTTCAAATAGGACGAAATACGAGTCCTAGATTCCACTGCTAGTCACTATCCATCTTTTGATTGTATTGTTTCTAGACAAACAGTCTATTTTGATTTGAAAATTTTACACTTCACTTGATCATTGTGTTAGATTCCCTGACCGTGTTCTAAATATCTGATGTAAATGTACTGTAAATACTTACGATGATATCTTTATCATTGTTTATGAATTTAGACTGAATGACAGTAAAGACAATGTATTCAGGTAACATAGTCCTAGGTTTTGAGTCGGCTTTGCGAAAATTGCCTCCAGAGGCCCTAAAGGAGTCGAAGAGTCCTAGCCAATCAGAGCATGATGGAGCTTTCCAGAATATCAAAGTGGCGTGCTACTATTGGTCAGTAGCGTAATATGTCTATTAGCTGATTGGCCATCCTATGATGTTGATTTAAAAAATGTTAACATCTATAAATACCCGTACAAGAATGAACCTTCGGAGTAAAGTGTTTTTTTTTTTGCTTATTTTTCGCCTTTTCTCTCGAGTTCAAGTCACTGTATAGTTCTAGCTTGGGGATTACCAGAATAGGTTAGGAATGGATTATAGCGTTCAAATTGCAAGACATATAATTAACTTAATATTATTATTTGATTAGAAGCATGGTACATAGCAAAGATAATTACTGAGATGATGGAGAAGATTTGTAGCTCAGGTACTTGATGTTTTTGCTGATGATCACGTTCAGAAGAAAGATGAAATCTCCATCACCAAGCTATCTTGCTGATAGAACAAAACTTTATCAAAAAGATTATTTCTTTGTCTTATCTATATCATGATTTTGAGTAACAGTAAATTAGTACTGTTGGGATGATCCAGTAAATTTCTTGCAAACGACACACAACGATCAGGAAACATTAAGAAGTATTTCATCCAATCAGCGTTTACTTGAAGTTTTAGCCAGAAAACATCAAGGATATGAAACGTCACATATAGGGGTTCTGATTGACTGATTGTTATACTGCTACTATGTTTAGTAGTATTCCAGAATCTTCGAGTAACCCAAGAATATTTAAAATATTATAAAAACCCTATATTTTTTGTATTAAAATGAACCTTTGGAGTAAAGTACTTTTCGTATACTTTGCGCCTTTTCTTTCGTGTTCAGGTCGTTGTATAGTTCTAGCTTGGAGGTTACAAGACGAATAGCTTAGGAACCGAGTATAGCATTCAATTTGCAAGACTAATCAATACAGAGTAAAATTGCTTGTTATTTCATAGAATAGATAGATCAATCCATAGCAACTATTTCATCGATAAAAGGTTAAATATTTTACCTTTTTATATCTTCTATGAAATGTTTCTCTGATTTGATGACGTTGTTGTAAATTTCTATGTCCTAAAATTTTAGTGATGGTTTCTTCATCTGTAGCTAGAATAGAATAAATGAATTAATATACATAATGGTTATTAACAAAGAGGTTAATCTTTCAAGTAAATAGTTTTATGAAATATAACCAATGATGTAAGTTATCATTATTATAATATGTTGAAGTTAGACATTCGCATCATTGGATGACGGTCGACTCAGCGGTCTCGAGGTTAAATATTCGCGCACAAAACTGACAGGTTCTGAGTTTGAATCACTTGGAGCAGGATCGTGAATGAGTACTGTTGAAGAGTTCTAAAGTAGGACAAAACAATCATCCAGTGTTTTTTCAGGTTTTTCATAACGGTCTATCTTAAATTGATTCATGATCTTAACTATTGGATTTATTATAATATCCACAAAAACTTCTTCTGATATTACTATCATCAGTGTTTTGGTACAATATAGAATTATGAGTACAATGTGTTTCAATATGTTTCCAATTTCTTACTTCTTGATCGATCCTGATGCCAACTATTCAGTAGTCATCAGTTAGATGTTAGTAGTCAAGGAATCGACATCTAAATAATGTACATTCTTTTCGATGCATCTAGGCAGCAACCATGATGTTTCTCAGTTTACTTGCACAGCGAAATGTCTGAAACTTTTCATAAACTCACCTAAATAGGTTATGCTATGAATAGACATAATGATGTGTTATAACAAACAAAGACATAGATAACTTATGTGAAATATCTAAATGATAGGAATAGATCACTCAGATATTCAAGCAGGTCACCTTAGTTATTTCTATTTGTGATAGATTAGTAGTGAGTAGTGATATACAATAGAATTGTTTTAATCTATTTGTTAGTTTAATTATCTTTTGTTGAAATGGTCAAAAAGATTTGTAGCTTAGATGGTGGTTGGAGGTGGTCAACAGGAAACCCTGGATCCGGGTTTCGTGCTACTTGGCACTCGTCAGCAAGGTGTACCTGTAATCTTCGAGGGAACTGGTGCTCCCTGGCGGATTCGATCCCGTGTCACCCAGCTTCACAGTCGACTACCTCCAATCACCATCTAATCTCACAATAGTGCCCGCATTGTCGAGTCACCTAGACTGGTGGCCACATTGCAACATGATCGATAGCATTCGATCTGCACTAATAATAAGGACTAGACACGCATGACATTGGTCACCCAGTGATCAATCAATTGAGATTTTTAGCTTCGATGGATGAACTAGATGGTTTGATCGTAGAGTTTTACATTATTCTTCTGAACGACTTCTATCTGAAGTTTGTACTGATGCTCCATGACTAAATCATCCAATTCAAAGAACAAAACTCCATTCAAAACTATATTTTCTTTTTTTTTGTTGTTGTTGTTGCTAACTGACCATAATCGATATATTGGTTATATGATATTCACAGGTAAAAGGTAAATGAATAATGAAGCTTTATCGATGAACTATACAAAAGACATAGATATATGTAAATGGTTTATAACACGTATGAACATGTTGAATAATCAATGTGATCAGTGAATAATTGATTGATTGATTGATTGATTGATTGATTGATTCATTTCTATTTGGATCATTGAGATCCATTTCAATATTATATAATTTTTTTAAGTTTCATTGGATCTTATTTTAAATTAAAGACAGAACAAAAACTTTATCATAATCATTTAGTTGAGTTATAAATCATCTCTACCATTTCAGTGATTATTCCGGACAATGTTCAGTAATTGTTTCAATTCAAATGAGATAGACTTTAGTATTTGATTTGTTCTTCAGATATCACAATATACTTTTCATAAATCAATCTTGTGTAATGGATGAATACTCAAGTGGGGGGGACGATCGAATGTACTTGAACATTACAAATTGTGATGTGTGCTACTTATGTAGACATAAGTAGTATATGAGGTGAGTCGTGAACAGAATGTCTAGCAGCAGAGATAGAAGAAGATTGAACAGTAAAGAATGGAAACAGAAAGCAATTAGTATAAAAATCTAAGAACAATGAAGTTTGGATCATTTTCAGACAATTGATGGACATTTTTGCAAATTAGGCATTTACTATATGATTGTTAGATTTTATTAACAAGTTCTGTAATTTTGTGTCAAATGCATTCGATTGCCCCCACTGGTGTTCTTATTCACTACATTTGGTGTCACTGCCAACCACGGAGCTGTCAAGGTCAGCGCGTCTGAGACTTGACATTTTTGATGGAGGGCGTAACACAGACTGCAGAAAAGAAGAATAAGGCACAGCGAACATGAACCACCGCAAGAATGACGGCCTTTAAAGGATGGACGAGTGTGGTGTGGATTACTTATATCCACACAAGTAGTACATGATGTTATTCGTGAACAGAATGTCTGGCAGCAGAGAGTTAAGAGAATTGAACAATAAAGAATGAACGAAGAATGCAATTTGTATGAAAATGCAAGAACAAAGAAATTCTGAATCATATGAGGCAATTCATGGACATTTTGCAAATTGAGCATTTACTTATATGATTGTTAGATTTTATTAACTAGTTCTGTAATTTGTTGTCAAGTACATTCGGTTATCCTCACTGGTGTTCTCTTCATTACAAAATTACAGAATCTGTTAGTAAAATCTAAGAACCATACAGTAGATACTCCATTTGCAAAATGTCAATCCATAGTCATAATCTTTATTGGTCTTTCATTTCCACAGTAATCATTCTTTGTATTTTGTTCTCTCCTTCTTTGAACTTCTTAACCTTCTTCTAGCAGACATTTCATTTATGATTGACGATACATACTACTTATATTTATCAATATCGGTAGCGTATACCACAACACGATATGATATAAATCGTGAATTAAGATGTTGATGAATTTAAACTATCATTGTAATATCTAAACAGAATACACTGTAAAAACTCACCTTAAACAATACTTTGTGAATTTGATAAATTTCAATGATTAAGATCATGAGTCATTTGAAGCTAGACCACCATGGAAAACCTGGAAGCACTGAACGGCTGTTTCCTCTTATTGTGGGACTCCTTCTCAACAGTGCGCATCCACGACCAAACAACCATCCGATGCTTCCAGGTTTTCTATGGTGGTCTAGCTTCAACTACAGTTTGTAAATGTTCATTTAAACCTTAGAAAATACCAGATTATTCATTATTCAATCTATTATAATACCTGACATTTCAGATCCATGATGCTTGTTGTTGAATCATTCAAGGAATTGATAATAAGATTTATGGTGTTATGAATCACAAAATTGGAGAGAAGTGTTAATATGTGAATGTTAAAACTTTGACTAGTTAAATGTATCTTAATCAATTCAGTCTGTTTTCTTAAATATTCAAGTTCGTCTTTGTTTGTTTATTCATTTATTCTTATCTTTTATACTAGAACTGATACAGCCTCTAAATAGTCTGGTATGGCCGAGAGTAGGGAAAGTCAGCTCTTCCTCTCGAAATGCAATCATATAGCCACGTGCATACAACCACTACCAGGGAAGTCATACTCGCTGCCTTCTCGTGACATTACTGTTGTTTAGGAAAATGAGAGGATGAAAACCGTATGTCTAGTACTAGCGTTAACCGGGTTGAAGGACACGGAGAGTCCATCCAGGGTGGTTAGAAAACCCTGATTCCAAAGCACTGGTGTACATGGGCTCCAATATCCTGAAGGAACAAATGGCATATGAGCCAATCGTTATTCAGCAGCTACCATGGGACTGTATCTGCTAACGTTACTCCACTGCCTTGTGGATCAAAGGCTCCGAGTGCAGCCCCCTAGTAAAACCACCTACTTCTGTTTAGGCGCCCAAGCAGTTATTTATTTATTTATTTGAACACATAAATATTGGTACAGGGGGGCACCATATATATATGCGCCACACAAAACAATGATAATTTGAAGAGAAGGAGGAAAGAGAAAAAAAAAGGTAATGAACGTGGGGAATTATAAAAAAAAAGGGAGAGAGAGAGAGAGAACAATGATGGGGAAAATGGAAAGGTACAATCAGAAGAGATCTTTCAGTTAAGGAAGAAGCAACCACTTTTTATGAAGAAAGTAAAAGAAGGTTACAGCAGGATCGCCACTGGCTTCTATTCTGAGCCATATCTGACAACGTCTCTAGCCACTGCGTTACACCGTCTTTCGGACCCCAACCAGGGAGTTGTGAAGGACCAACAGAAGCTAGCCCTTTGCAGCTTTCTTTCATACCACGACACCATGTCATATACTGACCACCTCTCCGCTTTTTCCAACCGGTCCCAGAGTCGGCAAATAATGCACGACGTGGAATTCTCTGGGACGACATTCGTAGAACATGTCTAAGCCAACGAAGTCGGTGTTTCAAGATGATGATGCCAATTTCATTATCGTCTCTGTGACCGAACACACGATGCCGGACCTCTGCATTACTGACATGGTGTTGCCACTGGATGCCAACAATCCTTCGGAGACAACGATGATTGAACACAGAGAGTCGTCTAACATCCTCAACTCGGAGAGGCCAGGTTTCACAAGCATAGAGCAAAACTGCTCTCACCGTCGCGTTGTAGATCCGACCTTTTACAGCCAGACTAACACATAAATCATGTAATTTATATAGCTCATATCTATTTAGTACCTCCTTGTATCAATGTTTATATGTTTGAATACATAGAACTGAAACAGTCAACTACTATTGCTTACACAAGAATAGATTTAAACCAATGGAGATATACAGTCACTTAATGACACTTTATTATTATTATTTAATCAATAATAAACACATATTTGGAAGGAAGAAACAAAAATATGGTTTTACAATTACAATACACACTTACATAATAATTTACATGCATTATGTAATTGTTCTGCATCATTTTCAGCACTAATACGATCAGGATATGTAATACTTGGTCCAGTTTGATGACTTATCCTAAAAGAATAAGCAAATAGTAAATATCAACTGATACCAAGTAATAACACAGATTATTCAATTCATCTATGATCATTTCATGTCAAAGGTTAAATTTCAATGGTTAAGATCATGAGTTAGTTAAAGCTAGACCATCATGGAAAACCTGGAAGCATTAGACAGTTGTATCGTCCTAGTATAGTGACTGGTTTTAAGAGGTATATCCTGAAGTTCTAGTGAGACGTAGTGACCAGTGGAGTTCAACCAGGTCTGTTGTGAGATAGTAACTCACTGAAGACAATGATAGATGTGTCTCCCGATTTCGTTGATTAGTTGAAGTTAGACAACATTGGATGCCGGTCGGCCGGCTCAGTGGTCTAATGGTTAAACGCTCGCGCGCGAAACCAGTAGGTCCTGGGTTCGGATCCCGCAAGGGATGAGATCGTGGATGCGCACCGTCGAGGAGTCCTACAATAGGACGAAACGGCCGTCCAGTGCTCCCAGGTTTTCCATGGTGGTCTGCCTTCAACTAATTCATGATCTTAACCATTGAAATTACTATAATATCCACGAAACCCATCTGATATTTAATGTTAAATATTGATTATCAATCAATCAATTAAACACTACATATACAATCAGACGTATATATGAATTGGTTCAAATGGTTATAATCTGTTAGCATAACAAGTTGTTCAAATAAATCAAAGGATTAATATCACAAGGGAGTTTTGTTGATATTATAGTAAATTCAATGATTGAGATTATGAGTCCATTGAAGCTAGACCACCATGGAAAACTTGGAAGCACCATACGGCCATTTTGTCGTGAATGCGTACTGTCAAGAAGGAGTCCCACAATAGAACGAAACAACCGTCCAGTGCTTCCAGCTTTTTCATAGTGGTCTAGTTTCAATGGACTTATGATTCCAACCATTAAAATGAAAAGATAACAAAAGTAGTAACAATATTAGTAGTAGTAGTAGTAGTAGTAGTAGTAGTAGTATTACGAAAGAAAAGATATGGAAGATATGAATGTAAAAGAAATGATAATTTAGAAACATGGGATCTAAGGAAAGGAACTAGTTTGAACAATGTTATCTTTAATCATTGATTATGAGTATTGTATGGAATTCAATCAGATAGTTTATATTTACCTATAAGATGGGATTCTTAAAGCAGTTCTATTCTTTGAATATTACAACTAAACTCCTTAAGGAATTTGATTTTCTACATTAAGTCTGTTTATTTAATCTTGAAACCATATTTGGATCGTTTTTCTCATCATTCTAAGGTATATTCATATTATATTTTAATCAACTACATTATTATAAGTATGTTTGCTACTGATATTGATAAATATAAGTAGTATGTAACATCAATCGAGAAGTGAAGTACCTGGTTGCAGAAGATTAAGAAGATCGAAGAGAAGAGAACAAGGACAGTAAATGATTGGTGTGGAAGTGAATGAACAATGAAGTCTGAGACGATAGATTCATCTTTTGCAATTGATCTATTTACTGTATGGTTCTTAGATTTTACTAAGATAACACTATGGGTTATTTTTATTATGAATAGTTGATTTAATGATACATTGAAGTAAACATGATCTCAATATTGATCACATCCTAACAAACTATGTCCAATTAGTAATAAAGATGAACTTGTTCTATCATCTTCCATTGTATTGAGGTAGATACCTGTCTCTACCCGATATGGATTAAACTCCAATGGTTACGGTTTGTCACTAGAACTCCGAGAATTCCTTCATGAAGCTAGTCATTATTGAGCGGATGGTAATTATCAATATAGGGGTTGAGGAGATTATTACTTTTTTGATTGAGGTCATGAACCATTCAGTGCTTCAAAGTTTTTAAATGGTGATCTAACGTCAATCGCTTCATGATCTCAATTAAAATAGTTAATCATCTCCAAAAACCCTATACTGATATTTCAATTGTATCTTCTTAATTTTCCGTTAGGATTGCAATTGATCAGTTCTCTGTTGACATATATGCATCCTGTACGTATCGCCTCGATATTGCCTTAAGACACAAGCCTTTTTTAAGTAAAGATGGATAGTGGTTAGCAGTGGAATCCAATTTGACGCGCGTTTCGTTCTATTTGGGACTCGTCAGCTAGATGTGCCTGCATTGTAGAGTTGATGTTCATTCTGGGACTTAAACCCATTATCGTTCGCTTCAAACACCATCGCGTTATCCACTTAGCTGCTGAGTCTTGATATCCACTTGCTTGTGTGATGGGGTGAAGTTTTAAATTCACTTGGTGTTGTTTTACTTGTATTGTAGTGTCTGTCATTATGTTAAGCTCATATGCATTATTCTAACTTCCGGACAGCCCATTCTATTCATTCTAATTGAGTCACATTCTAACCTTGCCAATTATTCGCTTATCAATCTTGAATGTTTTTATATGAGAGCGTAGGTGTGTGTCCGCTTCTTATCCCATTAATCATCACATGTTTGTAACTTATTTTGTGTGTGCTTATAAATATTGATTAACGGTTGGTTAAACGGAAGTTGGCTTACCCTCCATCTCCACTGCGCGTCATTTCGTTTCTCTCTATCCCATTCACTTCATATACAAAATATATATCTAATTCCGTTATTGACTAACGCAATTTGTGTCAATGATTAGATACGAGAATAGGCGACATATACATTTTGACAGCAATCATTCAATAACAATCATTTATGCGATCTACTTCGAGTCAGATCTCGGGTCAGTAAAATGGAGAGCCCGTTGACAACATCGTCCGATCTAAATGATGATAAAATAAAGGGCCCCACAAAAAGTGGTGATCCCGCCACCTCAGACGAACTCAACGGGCTCCACAAAAGTATATTTTCATTGTTGTGTTAGGACTGAAATTGTTCAGTCTTCTATTGACATATATTCATCCTGTGCGGATTGCATCAGGATCTTCATCATTGGAATCAATGTATATTTCTTATTAATAATCAACTAAAGAAAATTGTTTGTTTTGTTTTCATTCAATTAAAATAGATTTTGTTTGTTTAATAATCCGTTTTATTGTTATGCAACTCATTCATAGTTACCTGAATTTTGGATATTGATAATGGTAATAATAAGATTTGATTCTTTTGGTGTATAATGAATTATTTCAATATACAATGCCTCGATGTGCAATGTTCAATGGTATAGGAGTAAGTTGGAAGAAATCTAGGGGCAGCCAGAGCAAAACATGGTACAAATTCATGAAGTCATTGACAAGTAGACTGAGTGAACCATGTTCGTAGGTGTAGACTACCTGGTTAAGATCCGTTAGATGATAGCAACCGATGGTTAGAGATCATGAATGACATGGCTCAAAATCGTTTGCAATAGCGTAGGTGAATCCACTCTTTGTGTTCTCTCAAACTCTAATCTTCTGAATTCTTCATGTCCTTTATTTTCTTTCCCAATTTATTCCACTGGACTATACTCCTTGAATAACATCATCAAACCTTAATGTCCTCTATCTCTACTTATACTTTCGGTACCTCTATCACTATGGGATTTAAATCGACAATTGTATCTGTGTGCTAATGTTGTATGACAACTCGAACTGATGTACGTACGTACGAAGTTCCACGTTGTTACTGACTGAAGCTGACATATCAAACAGTTCAGTATGTTAGATAGAAATATAATTAAATGACTTTTTTTATGTATTATATAACTGTTATAACTTATAGCCTTTATGCTTCTATTAATCTATGATGTAATGATACCGTCAATTACAGAACAGTCAATTATCGACTGGATTATTGACGTGTAAAACCGTACAAGCAGTTTCAAGTCGTTATCGATCCTTCTTTCTGCTTATCCCTGCCTGTTTTTTAAGTCCAGAACATCAATCTCATCCTCCTCCATATGATTCATGTATTTCAAACATATTGGGTTTATATACAAACCAACCGGACTACATCATACCATCAAATAGAAAATAACATTTGCATAAGATCTAACCAAATATGACTGTGATTGTTGGAGACTGTAATGAATTGATTGGACATAACTCAAGACTGGTAAGTCGTCGAACAATGGTTTATAGATTAAAATGAAGCTTATAATATGAGGAACAAAGATATGAATAGTTTAGTTACTTAACTATTATACACTAGAAAATATATATATCGTATCAGTACATAAATGGATCTCATAAGTTACCATTCATAATTCTCACTGCGATATAACAATAAATACTACATCAGGTTTTTTTACATTTATATGTTAAGAATTTTTGTTACTAAGAGAATCATTTTGTTTAGGATGAGGGGTATCTCTTACTGGAGTGTAATATCTTACTCAAAACCTTGGCTTAAGTGGTATCCTGTTAATAAATTAACACAATCTAGTACCTTTATATAGTGTATATGGTATTGAGTCAATTAGATTAATAACCATGTTGAAAGTTGATTGATAGAATTAAGTAAAGGTGGTGTATTAGACAATAGTGGCATTGGTTACAATTCAGTAATCAACTAATGTATAGTTCATAGATATATACTCTAAATAGATATCTGTAGCTATTAAACAAATGCTTAAATATACTTTAAACATGTTTATTCATGAGTCAATCAGTCAGTCGGCTACAACGTAGGACTAGGCACATATATATGCATCGGTCCAAGTTGCCATACCTCATTAGTGCAACAAGATGAACATCGAATTCATAGAATTAGTTACTTCAATGGTGGTAATATATCAAAGAAAGATTAAATATAAGGATTAGTTAGTAGAAAGAAAGATATAAAGCCATTTTAATTTCACCGTTCAAGGGGAGATAAAGAGTGTATACACCTACGCCAATGTGATCGATTCTGAGCCATGTCACACAAAGTATCCAACCATTGGTTACGATAGTCACGCAGACCTCAACCAAGTAGTATGCATCTATCAACGTGCCTCAGATCAGAAGTTAGTGACTTGAAGTACTGATATCATGTTTTGGTTTGGCCGCCCCTAACTTTCTTCTAACCATTCAAAACACTAGTCAGCATTCCGCGTCGTAGTAATTGGTATTCAGGCATACGTAACACATTGCCCAATCCTCCTAGTCGATGAAGATACAGAACCTCATCAACTGATTTACCATCAATCCCTAATACCCTGCATCTAACCTCACTATTACTTACCTGGTGATGCAAGTAGATGAGAACAATATTTCTAAGGCATCTGTAGTCAAATGCTTATAGCTTACTAATATTTTCTACTTTTAATGGTTACGTTTTGCAGTTGTAAAAGTAGAACAGAACGAACTTCTGCGCAGTATACTCCTTCCCGAATTGATAAACAGACGATAGGCAAGCCGGATCACCACATCAAGGTAGCAACAACAGTAAGGTGTTTATTCATGACATTTCATTAAAATCAAATCATAATATGTAAAACTAAATTTGTTATAATAAGCATATATAAATTGAAAGTAAGGAGAGGATAGGATGACTTTTCAGGTGAGCATTCAATATGACATGAATATAAAACTATACAGACCATACTACAAACTTTCTATTATCTATGTAACATATTATAAAATAGGGAACAAGATATATAATAGAAATGGACAATACTAAGAGGCTTTAATAATCATGGAATTACTGTATAGAGTCTTATATCTTATAAGAACTTTCAATGTTATTACAATGTAAAGGTATGTCTTATAATACTTGTAACTGGTTACAGATTAAACGAGGAAGTCACTATCTTAACTATGTAACATTCCACTAGAATTGATCAATTTTTTTTCCTTTTCGATTAGGTCTTTTAATAGTTTAACAATGACAGTAGTAGCAAATGTTTATATTGCTCCATGGCTAATGGAATTCAACCGTGTAGGGTATAAGGCAAGTACCTAATGAAAACAATGGTGGGTGATTACGTCATATCGTAGACTGATTAAAGTTAGAGATTAATATTATTAGATATTGATTGATTGATTTAAAATTTAAGCGTTTATGTGTAAAACCTAAGATCCTAGGTTCGAATCCCAGATGCCAAATTATGGATGCTCACTGATGAGAAGTTCCATATCAAAACAAAACGGCCATCCGATATTTTTGTGTTTTTTATATTAGTATAACAATGATCGAATTATTTTTTCTGATTAATGTCTTTTTAGTGAGTTAGTTTTCTACGGGACTGCGTCGCTAACCCCATGCCTAAGCCTTCTCCGTTATCCGGGCTTGGGACCGGCACCATCCCCAGGGGTTATAGATGGAGCATAGTGGATCTGATGCATACATGAAGGCATAGATTGGCAAAGCAAGAGCAGCATATTTACAACTGAAGAACACCTGGAACTCAAAACAACTCTCTATCAACCAACACTAAACACATAATTTTCAATATTACATGGGTTGGAAACTTGGACAACTGCGAAAGCCATCATCCAGAAGATACACATGTTTATTCACAGTTGTCTACGCAAAATATATCAGATTCATTGGCTAGACATTATCAGCAACAACCTATTGTGGGAGAGAACAAACCAAATCCTAACGGAAGAAGAATTCCAGAATAATCACTGTTATTGGATAGGACACAGATTGTATCACAAAACAAAATCTCATATAGTATCCTCAAGGCCAAAGGAGGAGTAGACCAAGACTATAGAACACATGACATTGAGAAATGAAGACAAACATGAGAAAAATAAACAAGAACTGAAAAATTATACTCAGGATACAATGGATTGGAGTATACTAGTCAATAGACTATACTCCACTAGGAATAACAGATATAAGTAAATCAGTAGTAATCATTAAAAAGAACCATTTATCAAATAATGATTTACTTACATTCTTATAAGTTCAATGTACTAATCTCAAATTTTTAATTTTGTTTTAATCTAACTATATATACATAATGAATGAAATGACCTTGATCAAAAATACAACACTTTAGTGCGTATAAAGGTTACATAATCTATATAGTCGATAATAATCATCATAATCATAATCATAATAATAATAGTTCATCAGAATTATTCACGTTTAATTGAATTCAATTTATGTGTGCTATATGCTATTTAGACTTATCAATGCCAAATTAGTACTGTTACTATAGTATAGTATCATTGTACATGTTTGTATGTACGTGTATGTATGTATGTATGTATGTATGTAGTATGTATGTATGTGTAGGTATGTATGTGTGTATGTGAGAGAGAGAGAGTGTGTGTGTGTGAGTGTGAATGTGAAATGTACTACAAAGATTGAATGTTTTTCTTGAATCTATACATGTGTATCTGATATTGTAAAGTAATTTTATATAAAATGGGTTTTGTTGTTCTTGTTATTGTTGTTGTTGTTGGCGGTGGTGATGGTGGTGGTGGTGTTGTTGTTGTTTGTGCATAATCTCCAAGACTGTGTAATTTATAAAAAGAAAAGATTTTCAGTAATAAAAAATTTTAATAGTTGAAATTATGAATCAATTAAAGCTAGACCACCATGGAAAACCTGGAAGCACTAGACGGCCATTTCGTCCTAGTATGGGACTTCTCAGCAGTGCGCATTAACGATCCCGCCCCCCACGGGGTTCGAAACCAGGACCTATCAGTCTCGCGCCAAACGCTTAACCAACTAGACCATTGAGCCGGCGGGATCGTGGACGAAATGGCAATCCAGTGATTCCAGGTTTTCTATGGTGGTCTAGCTTCAATTGATTCATAATTTCAACTATTGAAATTACCAATTCACCACAAAACCTATTCTAGTAGTAAAAAATTTTGTTTGTTAGTTGGTTGATCGAAGTTAATAGAAGTCATTTTGATCAATAGTTTTTGTTTTCTTTTTGATCTTCCTCTTTTTCTATGGCTTTAAGAATTTTAAGTTAGAGCTTATCGTGTTTCGTCGTTAGATACATTCTTCAATATGTGTCCTATTTTGGAAAGCGTAAAACAATATCACTTGGCATTGTCAAAGTCAAAGGAGAAGAGAAAGATTAAACAACTCATTACACTGAGAAATTAAGACAAATATGAGAAAAATCAACAATATTTAGATAAAACAGGAAAAGATAGCCTAGGACAAAGTGGGTTGGAGAATATTGGTCGGTGATTTATACTCTATTGGAGGCAACAGGCATAAGTTAGTAAGTTATCAATAGTGAACTCTTAGGATATATGATATATAACTATTTCCGAATGCCCTGGTACGGCCGAGAGTGGGGAGAGTCCACTCTCCCTCTCGAAATGCTCTCACATGGCCATGCGTATATAGCCTCTGCCAGGGAAGTCCTACTCACTGCTTTCTCGCAACACGGATGTTGTTTACAAAAATGAGAGGACAAAAAGCGAATGTCCGGCGCTTTCACCGGACCCATAACCAATGGTGCACATGGGCTGGCTCCAGTATCCTGAAGGAACAAATGGCGTATGAACCAATTGTTGGTCACCAGCTACCATGGGACTGCATCTCCTCACGATGCTCCACTGCCTTGTGGGTCAGACGTTCAGGTCGAAGGCTCGGGGTGTGGCCCCCTAAGAAAACCACCTGCTTCGGTTTGGGCGCCCGGGCAGTATCACAGCCCTCACGCAAATCAACTGAGATTCGTGTGGCGCATATGTACTTGGTGCCTCCCTGTACCTATACTTATGTGTTAAAATAATAATAATAATATGTACTACAAAGAAACTCCATCAAAATACACTTGATCTTGTTTGCTTATATCTTTCTATTGTTGTTTAGCACTGTAATTGATCAGTCTATGGAGATATGCCTGATAAGATTATTTTGTAAATAGTTTTTAATGTTATTTGTATTGATTTTATCAATTTTTTACTGTATGTACATTTATCATTAAATGATTGTACCTGTTGTTTAAGTGTGTGTGTGACCTTGAGCACACTTTCTTCTGTTGTGTTACACGCATAGCATAACACATTGTTAACTGCTAACAAATATATCGTTGTACACATAGGATAGGACATACATTGAGGAAATCATCAAACTGCATTACGAGACAAGCGCTAACTTGGAATCCTGAAGGGAAGCGGAAAATTGGAAGTCCAAAGAACACATTATGTCGGGAAATAGAAGCAGATATGAAAAGGATGAATAAGAACTGGAAAGAGCTTGAAAGGATTGCTTGGGACAGGGTTGGATGGAGAATGCTGGTGAGCGGCCTATGCTCCTTCACGAGGAGTAACAGGCGTAAGTAAGTAAGTAAGTACACATACTTCTCATTCTGCATTCCCTTATGGTTGTGTTAACCGAAGTCTAAATCAGATAGTAATTACCTTTATAGATTATAATTAGAATATACCATATTCTATATTGGATTATATCACTGGAGAATTCATCAAATTTACTGGAAGTATCAACCGTCTATAATTGTGGATATTTGGTACCAGATCAAAGTAGAACATGCACTAGTCTAGCGAATCAAGTAACGTTCCTTTATTTCTATTGTGTTTATGACATTTTTACACGACAATGATTCATTTTTTATATCATATCCTTTCCAACCAAACTTATTGATATTGATTCTTCTCCAGTAACCAATTCTAGTTTAATGTCAAACCCACCTGACAACAATTTAAGCTCAGTTAATGCTATTTCCGAATTCAATCATTCATTCAACAGTTGACAAGGCAATTAGCGTCGCTACAGGCTACCATAGCGACGATTCAATCTCGCCCGACCAGATCAACGTCGTAATAGGTCACCTAGGCAAGCTGCTGGTATCTGTTGGTACCATGCGAACTATGGTCACAAAGCACGGCATCGCACACGACCGTGCACATTCTTTTCGACTAACACTGAGAATCAGGGAAACGAACCGGCCAGACAGTAATGGCGGCGACTGTTTCTGGTCACACGACAAGCCGTCTTTTCCACATCAGCGACCATATTTCAGGCTCAGACTTCTTAGTTGATACAGGAGCTGAAATTAGCATAATCCCACTAGAGCTTTCACGACGGCGACACACTACATACGGCAAGGTGTCACTACAGGCGGCCAATGAAACAATTATCAAAACCTACGGAGAACAGTCTCTCATTTGAGATCTCGGTCTTCGGCGAAGATTCACTCGGGTTTTTATAGTCGCCCAAATCAAACGACCCATTCTCGGGGCTGATTTCCTAAGTGGCTACAAATTACTAGTAGATATGAACAGCAAGAGGTTGATTGACCAATGCACACGTTTACAAGTGAATGGTACGCTTGTTACTGATTACGAGATTCATGGCGTTCATATAGTAAAACCTGAAAACAAACTTTTCATCAACATTCTGAAGGAATACGAATGTATCACAAAAGTCAATTACCGAACGGAATCCACGACACGTCACGTACAACATCATATCATCACTAAGGGTCCACCCATTTGTGCTAAGGCAAGGAGACTACCACCAAACAAGTTGCAGACAGCTAAAAGAGAATTTGAACACATGATGCAACTTGGGATTATTAGACAATCTAGCAGTCTTTTGGCCTCACCGTTGCACATGGTACCAAAGAAAGGCCAAGACTAGCTTCCGTGTGGTGACTATCGTCGACTGAATAATCAAACCATTCCTGATAAGTATCCTATTCCACATATAGATGACTTTTCGTTAAACTTACATGGCAAATGTATTTTTTTGAAACTCGAACTTGTGCACGCATACCATCGAATTCCCATGGCACCAGAAGACATTGAGAAAACAGCCATAACTATACCCTTCGGTCTGTTTGAGTTTCTAAAAATGCCGTTCGGACTGAAAAATACCGCCCAGACATTCCAAAGATTCATGGATGATGTTACAAGAGGTTCAGATTTCTTATTCGCTTACATAGATGACTTTTTGATCGCAAGCTCATCAATAGAAGAGCACGTCCAACATACCTAGATCCTTTTCGAACGCCTTAAAAAGCATGGTGTAGTTATCAATCCTTCGAAGTGTATATTCGGAGCCTCAACTCTGGAATTCCTGGGGCATCACACTGATTCCCAAGAAATTAAACCTCTTGAAGAATCTATAGTCAATTTCCCTGAGCCCAAGTCGATAAAGATATTACGCCGGTTCCTGTGAATGTGCAATTTTTACCGACGTTTTCTCCCTAGTTGCGCGGCCATCTTGCAACCTTTGACAGATTTACTGAAGACTGATAAAACCTTGACTCAGACCAAAGAAGAGAATATCTTCACGTTAACGCCCGAGGTCAGAGAGGCTTTCGCCAAAACGAAATCAACGATATCCAAAGTTACTGTGCTACAGCATATAAACACCGACCCCACAACGCATCTCATCCTCTGCACCGACGCCTCCCAGAAAGCAGTAGGAGCAGTACTACAGCAGTGCGTGAACGACAACATTACCCCTATAGCGTTCTTTTCCAAACGATTATCGCCAACCCAAGAACGTTATAGCACCTTCGGACATGAACTTCTGGCTATGTATTTGGCTGTAAAACATTTCAATTTCCTGCTACAGGGCCGTGATTTCACTATTATGACTGATCACAAACCCCTTTGCTACACCTTTAATACGTCGTACGACAAGCCTTCTCCACGGGAGGCCAGATAACTGGATTATATTTCTCAATTTACTACGGACATCCAGTTTATCAAAGGCTCTTCCAACATTGTTGCTGAAGCTCTATCTAGAAAGGACATCAACATGATAGTACACAACCACAACATCAGTCTCGAAACTTTAGCTAAACTCCAAGTAGACGATGCAAAATTTAAAGCATGCAAAGAGAAGTCTAACTTGAATCCTAAACCTATACCCATATCTTTCTCAGATACATCTATCATTTGCGACACTACCACGGGTAAGAATCGCCCCTTTGTGACACAAACTTATTAACGAAAAATATTTCAACAACTACATGAACTGTCGCATCCAGGCATCAGAGCTACCACCAAGCTTATCACAGAACGTTTTGTTTGACCAAAAATCAATTCGGATATTAAACATTTGACACGTAGCTGCTTACAGTGCCAACTTAGCAAAATTCAAAAGTACACAAATAAATCCCGTTGATATATGTACATCCTGTATGTATTACCTCGATAGATCCAGCTGATGAGTCCCGAATAGAACA